CTTTCAGGCAGCATGTGTGACACAATGCATCAGTCCCCAGCTGCAAAGTGTCAGTCCAGGGCCGAGCGAGGAGTGCGCGGGGCGGCGGGTGCGGGCGGTGCAGGGGGGCTTGGCGTTCCCCGGTGGGCGAGGGCGAGCGAGGCGGCCTTGGCTCTGGGGCCGACAGCCGGGCGAGGGTTCGTAGGGAAGGGGCGGCAACCGAGGGCGGAGGCCTTCCGCCGCCCTAAAACGAGGAGGAGACGACGGCAGTGTCACCGAGGGCACACCGAGTCGGGAGATCGGAAAGCAACAGGAACAGCACTGATTGCACTCGGGCGGATGCGGTGGCCTGGCGCGGGCCACGAGCTCTCTGCTGGACTCGTCGGGGTTGTTTGTGTGGGAGGTGGTGGTGGGGAAAGTGGGAGTGGGGGGCAGAGGTTGCATTCGTGAGCATCACCCCCGAACACGAATCTTCAGATTGCCTGTGATCCTCTCAGCTCAAGGTTCAGCCCGACCCCTGCTTTTCTCTTACCCAGTCCCTAGACTGGAAGCTCTGTGGGGCAGGAGCCGGTGAGGTCTCTCTGACCGCCGGGCATGGGACAGTGCTTATCATTATAACCACAAAACCAGCCGCAGGGGTTTCACAAGCGATGTTCTATTTAATTCTCTCAAACACTCCTCCAGGTAAGAATAGGATTCCCATCTTGCTGGTGAGCTAGGAGATCAGAGGGGTTCAATGTCTTTCGCAATTCCACACAGCTGGGCCTGAAATTCAGGTGTCAGGCATCTCTCCCTGCCGGCCTTGCTTTCCTCCCATAGGTACATCTCCTTGTGCATGTTTACCTCATATTTATATTCACGTTTGTTTTTCAGGAAATATCTGAAATTGTGTGGAAACAAATTATAAAGAAAAGGGCAGTTCCCGACATTCATATGTCCCTGAGTCACTAACCCCCAAATAACTCCTGGCTCTGCTGCATTTTGCTGCTTCTGAAAATGACATTACTTCAGTCTGTCCCAGCAAGCCTTCCATTTTATGTACATTCCTGTCTGAACACTTGAGAAGGGCTTACAGAGCGGGCCAGCAGCTTTGTGGGTTTTTTTTTTTTAAGCTGCACAGGAGTGAATGAAGGAAGATAGACATATCTTAAGATATTAAGCACCTTACCATGTGCCAACCACGATAGAAGGCATTTTACAGATATTTTCTAATTGAATTCAATAGCCATGTCAGGGGTGTTTTATAGTTCTCCCCATTTCACAGATAAGGAAGTTGAGGTCATGGACGTGGGGTGACTTGTCTAGTCATCTGTTGAAATCAGGGTCATTTATTTATTCAACTGACTCCTGATGCCAGACCCAGGGCCAGGGGCTGGGATTTCTTAGTATCTGGGTCTGTCTCTAGCATTAAGAGTTCTTTCCACCATACTCCAACCTTTGAAAAAATGTTTCCCTCACCCGCTATGAGGCATATGTGCTGTCACTCTAGTTCATTCTCTTCCTCCCTTCAGCCTTTTCCTCATTCATACCTTATGGACTCCTTCTATAGTTCCCCTCATTCAAACCATTCCGGAAATGCCACCTCCTACAGGAGGTCTTCCTTGACTGCTCCCACCCACAGTCCCCTCCATCTCCTCCCTCTTGTATATGCTCTCCGTCACATGCACTTGTTCCTTGGCCACTCCAAACAGGGAGCTCCTTGAGGGCAGAGTGTGGCCAATTGCTCTCTGGGAAATGCGTCCAACTGCTAGGTGCTTGGGGAAAGCTTGCTGATTGATCAGCAATCACTGAATAAGAGAGAGCATGGGAACTAGAAAATACTTTGGAATAAAATATAAGACAGACCTGGGTTCACACACAGCCTGTGTCACCGTGTCACTGCGCAGCTCCCTGCCTCTCTCTGAACGTCAGTTCGCTCTTTGTAACATGGGGATCATGATCCCTGCCTCCCTCACAACCCTGCGGAGAAGTCAGGGTGAGGATGGGTATGCAAACTGTATCCTTTACAGAGTTGTCTGTCCATTGTGTGTCCTGGGGCAAGACATGGCCCTCTCTGGGACCTTTTCCTCTCTGATGCCCCAGATGACCACCAAGGTTCCTTCTGGCCCCACCATGGCTTCAGCACATGAGAGCTTGGTGTTGAGGACTTCAATCTTCCCAGTGCCTCAGCCTACAGAGGCCCTGACAGGCCAGGCCTCTCCAGCTGGCCAGCCCAGGCCAGGGATGCTCCTTCCCAGGGCTCCAGACTTTCTGGAGCCAGGCAGGGAGGGACTGGAGGTGGGTCAGACCTGGAGCCCCACAGAGTTCGCTGTCCTACCAACCTGCACGTGAGGGGGCATCCTATGAAGTCAGGACAACCTGGGAAGAAGGTCTCAGACACAAAGGCCCAGCTAAGGGGCTGAGGACAGAGCTTCTGACTTGCCTCAGGGCCTTGCTACAGCCCTGATTTGCTGCTGGATGACCTTGGTTTTCTCCTCTGTAGGGGAGGGGTCATGGGAGATCATGACAGATGTCACTCTCCCTCCCTGCCCCCTCCCCCCCACTGCCCAGCCTAGGCCACACCATCTCTCCCCTGGACTATGCCAATGGCCACCTCACTGACCTCCTGACTTTCAAATAATGCCTTTGGGTACATGTGGCTAAGTAGCTACCACTTCCTTCCACCTAAAATGAAGACAGAGACATGAGGCCTGACCTTTAGCAGCAGAGCCTGGAGCAGGCTGGTACTACACTCCCACTATCAAGTCAGGCCTGGGCACCAGGCTGTCTTGTTGCCTTCAGCCAGCCTTGCCTTCTCTCCCACCTCCTGCTTAGAGGGGAGGGGGTGACACTGGGGGGAGGGGGAGAGATACTGCTGCTTCAGTGACTGAGGCTATAAACAGCATCCCCAAAGGGGTAGACCCTTTGTCCCCAAATATCACCATTTTACCACTCTCTCGCACTGCCTGAATTACCTCCATTAAGTCACTTCTTTGGGTTAAGGTATTGAAAGCCTTTAGTAAAATGAAGGGACCTGTTCCTCTCTGATGCCCCAGATGCCCAAGTTCTCTAGACTTCTCATGAAATACCAGTTGAGTGGTATTTCCTGAGAGGGTTAAGGGCTGAGGATGAAGATGGGTGAATCCAGTTGTTCTAAACTTTTCTAAAGCTCTGGAACCTTTAATTAAACAATTTACTGAGTAGAGCTGTTCTTGTCAGAAAAGGAGGCAGGTGTTGGCTGAAGTCCCAGGCATCAGTCGTGGGCTCAGAGGGGCTCCCAGGAGAGTGGCCCTGAGCAGTCCTGAGTGAGTGGCTGGGTTTTGCCTGGGGGGACACGGAAAGAGCATCCCAGGTGGAGGGACATGCTTGGCCAACAGTGTGGTGGTGGGAGGGCAGGCGGGCTGATGGGGGATGCAAGCCTGTGGGGAGGGGACCTAGAGAGCCTGCAGCTCCTCATGGGTCCAGCTCTTGGGCTGGCGGAAGAGGGTGGGGGCGGGGCAAGTCCTGGACACATGGGGGTTTCCACCATCAAAGCATGTCCAGCCTAAGAGACCTGCATCCACACTGGGTGCTCAGGGCTCTGGGCAGGTGGGGTGAAGCACAGGGGCTGGGGGAGCCTGGGTAGGGACCCTGACTAGTGGGGGGACAGAGAAGGCTTCCTGGAGGAGTTACTTACTGTCCATGCTGCATCTTAGAGTGGGTGCCAGCACCTGGAGGAGGCCTTCGGGCACAGGGGCTGCGTGCTCTCTCTAAGGCAGGTTCACAGCAGAGGAGTCCCCCCCAACCTCCACCCCGGCCCTATGCCAGTGGCTCCCTGTGCGCTGGGCTTCCTCCCTCCACTTTCTCCTACCCTCCCTGTCTCAATTCCTTCCTTGACCTCTCCAGGACCCCCCTTCCACTTCCTCCTTGACCTCTCCAGGACCCCCCTTGGTGCCCAGACTTCTCACGTGTGGGAGACACGCATCAACACCCACGTGATCCGTGATCCAGGCCTGCCAAGCTCTCCAGCCTCCAAGAGGCAAAGGAAAGCGAGGCCGGGGGCATGGGGGGCCGGCTGCCTCCTCCGGATGGGGCAAGCGGAACTTCCTGAGATAAGGGTGGCCAACAATGGGGGGCTGTGTGGTGGGGTCTATCTCCCGGCCAGAGGAAATGAGTGGCCTCCGCACCATTAATCCGCTGAGGCCTGCAGCACCCTCTCGGAGGGTGATCCGGGTGAGGGGTAGTTATTCCCAGCCCCACCCGCTGTCCCAGTTAGAGCGGTTGGGCCTGTCACTCCAGGCCTGCCCCCTTCCAGGACCATACATATAAGTAGGGGTCTGGGGGGCAGGGACAGAAGGAGGGGCAACTAGGGTTGGGGAGCAGGGTCTGGGTTGGCTGCCAGACTGAGCTAACCTCTGTGGGACCCAGGAAAGTGCCTCACCCCTTCAGGGCCCCCGCCCCTCACTGATCCCTGGGCTCCCTCCCTCCCTGCTGCTCTGGAAGACTGAGGACACGACATGCCTGTAATTCTTGTCTTTCTGCCTTTCTCGGCACATGGGCCTCAGGACACACGCTTTGCCCAAATACGGGGATCTGATGGTGGGATTTTAGGCAGCACGCAGGCTGCTAGCAGGAGTGTCTGGGCTTTCTGAATTGTCATAGCCACTGCGACTAAAGGGAATGAGGAGAAGGCACAGCCCTGCACTGTTCTGGGCCTCAGGGTCCCGTTCAGCACCATGAAGGGGTGGGACTCGTTGGCCATCCTGTGGAGGATGAGCTGCTATGGTCAGTGACAGGGTGCGAAGCCACGGAGTTCCTATAGGCCTCACCCCAGAGCTCCATCTTGGCCACTAACCAGCTGTGTGAATCTGGGCAGGTCCCTTCCTGCCCCGGGGTCTTGGACTTTCTGCCCATAACCTGGGCCCCCTGGCCAGCCAGCTCACAGGAATTCTGTGACAATGGATGTAAAGGGGGCCCTGTATGTGACACAGGGAGGGCAGCTGTCTCTGAAGTGGCCTGGCTGGGGACTGCGTCCAGGGCCCGATCTCCAGGCCCAGAGGCCT